TGAGGAAACTGAGATTAAAAAGGTAAACTAACTATTACCAGTTCAAGCCAGCAGTCCAGTGTGTCTGGCCCAGAGGCCATACTCTTCATTTCTGTACATGTTTCCTCCCACTGAGAATGTGCCCTGGTTTTGCACCTTTTCTTAGTGTGGGTGGAGGGGAGGCGGTCTCTGATTCTGGACTTTAGTCCAGAGAAGGAACTGGATCTTCTGAGAACATCTCAGAGTTCTAATATTGAAGACGCCTTTACCTAACTCACGATGTCCCCAGGTGGTGCCAATGGTTTGTGCTCGACTACTAGCCTAAAGGTTAATGGTTCAGACCCACCCAGCAGCACCAAGGAAGAAAGGCCTGGTGATTTCCTTCTGTAAAGATTACAACCAAGAGAACCCCATAGAGCAGTTCTACTCTGTAACACATGGAGTCCCCATGAGTTGCAATCGACTTGACAGCAAGGGGTTTACCCAACTTTTAGCATTTGGTAACATTTTCTTAAAGTTTTAGTGGTGGTATATTATCAATTTATAGTATCAATTCTTTAAAATTCTTCTTGGTTAGGAGAACCATGCAATTAATATGAATTTATTAATATAGATTTTATATTTACTCAGTCTTATAACAAAATTTAACCCCAAACTAAGAACAACTACTTAACCATATTGAAGAGCCAATTTAATTTCAACTCAGCAATTTTGTAATAAGTACTTGTATCATAAAATTTAAAGTACAGTAGTTCTTCTCTAGAAGTTGCTGTGTATATTTTTATAACTTCATAGTACATGCTATTATGGCTGATTTAATATTCTGTTATTTCCAACTCACATTAAATTCCTTCTGTTTATTTGACTTCTCCACCATCTGTCAGTTTGTCGTACTGTGGTGGCTTGTGTGTTGCTGTGATGCTGGAAGCTATGCCACCAGTATTTCAAACACCAGCATGGTCATCCATGGTGCACAGGTCTCAGTGGCGCTTACTAAGACAGACTAGGAAAAAAAGCCTGGCTATCTACTTCTGAAAATTAGCCAATGAAATTCTCATGGATCACAAAATATTCTCCAAGACTTCTACTTACTTACTTTGGATGTGTCATCAGGAGGGATCGATTGCTAGGGAAGGACATCATGTTTGGCAAAGTGGAGGGCCAGCAAAGGTGAGGGAAATCCTCAATAAGATGGATTGACACCATGGCTGCAATAGTGGACTCAAACATACCAATGATCATGAAGATGGTGCAGAACCAGGAAACCCCATCTATATGAGGTTGCCATGAGTTGGAGAACAGCAACTAACAACAACATTCGATTTCAGGAGTTCATAAGTGTTTGTGACTCTCTGCCATGTTTCATGTTAAGATGGTTGGGGTTGTCTAATTCGTATCTATGGTAATGATGCCTTTTGAACCCCCTAGAACATATTCAGAAAAATTCACGTTATTCATAGTCATTCTAAGTAATACAAACAAAAACAAACAAACAAAAAACAAAGCAGTTAGTGGTTGAAACACAAAAGACAGACTAACCCTTCCCCACTGCCCCATAAAGCAGACCAGATGGATGTGGCCATGCTTAGCCAGACCCGTGGTGAGACAGACAGGGAGCCAGCCAGCCAGAGAGAAGAGAACCAGGAAGTTCTTTATGAGTACTTCTCTAAAAACCATAATCAGTTTGTGGCATCTTACTTCAACCTTGAAACTAGTCTGTTTTATATGTTACCCTCTGCACCCCACTTTTCCAGCTTTTCTCTGCTCATAGTGATGTTTTTAGGATTCAGATAATGATTTCCTTCTAAACCAGACTTTTGAACTTACTTTTTCCTTATGTCTTTGAATACTGGAAAAAACTTATTAAATGCTTAATCCATACCTGCTGGTTTGGGACAGTATTGCCTTCCCCGAAACCAAACCCAACCCATTGCCATCAAGTTGATTCCAACTCATAGCGACCCTGTCAGACAGAGTAGAACCGCCCCATGGGGTTTCCAGGGAAAGGCTGGTGGATTCAAACTGCTAACCGTTTGGTTAGTGGCTGAACGCTTAACCACTGTGACACCAGGGCTCCAGTATTGCCTTAGTTCGATGAATATCCCTGCTATTAGTTGAGGATGTAGTTAATGTTTTTGCTGTAGGCAGCAAGGTGATTCCGGGTTACTTTCTATGTCTGCCATACCTGGGGTGGCTGGGCACAAGGGTTTCACTTTTGATCGCAGGATAAAAGACCCCTAATTTTCACAGAAGAGTGAAGTCTCTGCAGAGTCGGTATCTGGCTGAAGGGTTATGTGCACCAGGACAACCTGCTCTCCAGTCTTTTTCCCTCTACTCTTTCCATAGGCAGTTCTCCTCATCTCTTCTGGCATTCTGTGGGGGAGTTCTGGATGTACTCAGCATTTCCCTGTGAGTCTGATCATTAAGAATCCATAAAACCTTATCAGCAATAGGTTCATCTTTTCATTTGAAAAGATTGGGTTTATAATACTTCCCTCTTTCATGAGGAATCCGTTTGCTGTAGGCCTTAAACGATCCCATGCACTGGTGAGGGCATGCTAATACTCTCTGTGACCTTATCCAATTTCCATATTCCAAAGAACAGCTTTCATTATACATCTCTCCTTGATCTTTTGGATAATTATGTAATGCATAATTGTATCAGCCAGGGTCCAGGTAGGAGAGAGAAACCATACCACTTATGTTAACAGAGAGAATTTAAAGTTTTGTTAATTAGGTAAATGAAAGGCAAAAAGCAAAACAAGACAAGACAAAACAAAACAAAAACAAAACCCTCTAAGCTGTCACGGAGGTGAGGCGGTAGCGGTTCAGTGGTAGAATTCTCACCTTCCACGTGGGAGATCCGAGTTTGATTCCCAGCCAATGCACCTCATGCACAGCCACCACCTGTCTATCAGTAGAGGCTTGTGTGTTGCTATGATGCTGAACAGGTTTTAGCAGAGTTTCCATACAAAGACAGACTAGGAAGAAAGGCCTGGTGATCTGCTTCCAAAAATTAGTCAATGAAGACTCTATGGATCACCACGGTCTGGTCGGTGACCGATCATGGGGATGGCACAGCACTGGGCAGTGTTTCCTTCTCTTGCATGTGGGGTTGCTGTGAGTTGAGGGCCATTCTGACGGCAGCTAACAACAACAACAGCACGGAAGGAGCAACTGCAGGAAGCAGCTAACACAGTTAGGGCGGAGGGAACCAAGAGGAGAGGTTGGAATTATTAAACCTTAGAAACTTGGAAGAGATGTCTCATGGAGCTGAAAGTCAGGATTCCGAGAAAGAGCCACTGCTTGGCTGGCACTGGTGAGTCTGAGCTCAGAGAAGGTTCCCTGACTTCCAAGGCAGGGACACTAACTGGCTGGTGTTGGTGTCTCTTGGGGGCTGTGATGAGGCTGGGTCTGCAAGTGCTGGAGAAAAAAGCATTCTGGATTCAGCTGCTGCTCTGGGAAGAACCTGCAGCTGCTGGAATGAAGAAGCAAAGCAGGAAGCAGGAACAAGGAGCAAGAAGGAGCAACTGCCTTTTCCTTCTCTAGCTTTGCAATCTCCCACTAGTCCTCCTCCTGAGAGAACCGACCAGGGAGGAGCTGGCCAGCAGAAAGGGGGCTGCAGAAGCTCAGCCCCAGCATCATACACAGAGTACAGAATGGTGGGCTTGCAGGTGAGAGGAATAGCTTGATATCTGGCACAATGAGCCTATACAAATGCTCTCATTCATATAGGACCTTTATTCAAATTCTGAATTGTGAAAGCAAAAAGCATGCCACACATAAAGGATGACTGTGACCAAGGTATTTTATCACTTTCAAGGCATGCTTATGAAATGCTTAATAAATGTGTATTGTTTCTTTTTTTTTTTTTAAAGTGAGAATATGTTACTGAACACAAGAAATTCCATTTGAGGGGCTAGGTATGTCAGGACTATATAAACTTGTATGGTGGTTTTAAAATATGCCCATGAATTCTTTAACATTCCTCCCTTCAAAAGATGGGACCTAATTCCCCTCCTCTTGAATGCAGGTTGGCTTAGTTATTTGCTTCTAACAAAAAGAATGTGGTGGAAATGATGGTGTGTGACTTCTAAGCCAAGGTCATAAAGGCATTGCTGCTCCTGCCTTGCTGCCTTGGATTGCTCTCTGTAGGGGGAAGTCAGCCGCCATGTTTTGAGGATGCTCAGGCAGACTGACGAAAGGCTCATGCTGGGAGAAACTGAGGCCTTCTGCTACAACCAGCACCAAATTGCCAGGCATGAGAGAGGCAATCTGGAGGCAACTCTTACAGCTCCAGTTAAGCCGTTAGCTGACTGCAGATTTAGTCGACATTTTGACTGCATCTCATGACAGACCCTGAGTCAGAATTACCCAGTTAAGCTGTTTCTAAATTCCTGAAGCTGTGATAATAAATTTTATTGTTTAAAGCCACTAAGTTTTGGAGTAATTTGTTATACAGCAATTGATATACAATGACTTTGGAAACCACAGAGAATTATCAGTGTTTTAAAAAGATTCACTGTCCTCATTTGGGTTGTCCCTGTCATTATTTTTCAGGGGTCTGCCTCCCATTACCATCACTTTTCCAGGGAAGTGCATATAAAACAGCACTGCCATGTGTGTTTAAAAGCAAGCTTGTAGATTCCACACCAGATTTGCAGTAGAATATCTGAAACCTAGCAGATAGCGTAAGAGAAAAAGAAGTATTTCCCAAGTAAAGACATTATATTGTTGTTATAATCATCATTATCAGCATCATCATCATAATTGAACAGTTGTTGTCGTTAGCTGCTGACCCCCGGTGATCCCATGCACAATGGAACAAAATGCTGCCATCCCCATGATTGTTGGGGATAGGGCCATTGTGACCATAGGGTTTTCACTGGCTGATTTTTGGAAGTAGATCACCAGGCCTTCCTTCCTAGTCTGTCTTAGTCTGGAAGCGCCACTGAAACCTGTTTAGCATCACAGCAACACACACGCCTCCACAGAGAGTCAAGTGGTGGCTGAGCATGAGATGCATTGGCTGGAATCGAACCAGAGTCTCTCACATGGGAGGGGAGAATTCTACCACTAAACCACCAATGCCTCAATTAAACAGTTAGCCTCAAATAATATTATGACAAAAGATGTCCCTTTAAATGGAGAAGTCAACCAAAGGCCCCAAAGGGCAGGTATGGAGGTCCTTGATTATTTATTTTAAAAATAATTACTTTTCTCTTGTCTCAAAATCCCTCATATTTACAAGTGTGATGATGCTCATGTTTGTATGACGTCACCAGCATCCCATGGGAGCAGACTTTGTGAATCAAAGCACCCTCTAAGTCAGCATTCCATTGGAAGTGCTACTGTCAAGTCAGCCGTTAGCTTCATTTTGTAAATTGATTCTTGTTACTGTTACCCATATCTATTGGATGACAGAGGAAAGCAAAGAACTGGAAGGAAGAAGAATGCTTGCTGAGATAATTATGCTTTTCCCTCCTTGCAGGAAATAAAAATCTCCTTCATCCTTTCATTTCTCTAAGCATGCACTTCAGAGTGCAGTTCTGCAAAGAACTCAAATGTTGAAAAGCCAAGATGACATTTCCAGAGCAATAAATTATCCAACTTTTGAGCTCGGCCCAGACAAGGTGACTAATGGCTGGTGGGCTGGTCATATACCGGAAAGCAATGTAGTACGTCACGCTTTCAAGTGATTCTCTTTGGGGAGTCATTAGGATTTTGAAACCTATGATTTGTTTGCTAAGAGCTAGCCAACCATGGTGCCTCCACGCAAGGCTTGCGTTACACGCAGCGCAAGGTGAAGCAGGATGCACCTTCCTTTTCTACCCTTCAGTGTAGCGGTGCTCAGTTTGCTGCTTGAGAAGAGTATAGCGTCCCTTCCATACGTGGGTGCCAGGAGATAAGAAATTGTACTTTCTCCAACTCCTTCTTACAAAAGAACCTTGATGAGATGTTAGGTGATGCAGCTCCTCCCTCTGATAATAGGTCTTTTGGAAGAAGGTCACACGGACATGGACATTTATTTTTAGTTTAATACAATGTAAGGATAGAAACAACGGGGGAGGGGACAGTGTTCAGGGGAGGAGGAAAAAGAGGTTAAGGGGAGAAAGGCAAAGAGAGATTTACAACTGCAAATGGAGGCTGGAAAGAAATGCGGCAGAGGGCCTGATCTCTAGTGTAAACATTTTCAAGGCTCCAGCAGAGAGCCGCGGGGTGCGGAGCCCCTGCTCACCCCTCCACGCACCAACGTTCTCGAATCTCTTCTGAAGTTCCGGCGGCACAGTCCCTTCCATCTCTCGGGCTTCCTCCTCTTGCGCCGTGTTGGAAATACCAGTGCGAGGAGTGTGCTTATATGTCCATGTTAGTATGAATATAAGGCAAACTTTCTTTAAGAAAATCAAAACAAAAAAACCACAGCCTTGATTGTTCGTCAGGAGTACCCCTCAGGGCAGGGCTAAACTCCCTCAGAAGCTTCTGGTACAGGGGCTATTCCAAGAGGCCTCACAAACCTGACCTCATGAGAGGGGGATGGGGATATGAGGGATGATTAGCAACATGGAGGGAGGGATGCCACATAGTTTTAATCTCTATTGTTATATTATTATTATTCAATTTTTACATTTTTTGGATGTGGTAAATATATACGTAACAGAACATTTGCCATTTCAACATTCTTCACATGTACAGCTCAGTAACATTAATTAGGTTAATCATGTTGTTCCGCCATCACCCCTCTTTGTTCCCCAAATTTTCCATCACCCTTACCAGAAGCCTAGTGTCCTCTAAGAACTGTGTCCTCCTTTCCCCCTCCCTCCTGCATGCCCCTGCTAACCACTAACAAACTTTTGTCTTTTTGCCTACTCAAGATAGTGATATGTTATTAATGTTAAGGTTAAAATGCTTTGCCGAAAGAGACATTCGACTTTTAAGAGAACCATTTCTAAGCAGTTTGGATAGGTAGGAAAAGATGAACACAAGAGGTTGCTAGGTGCTGCTGGGAAAGCAATTTAATTTAAATTATGATAGTAATACAAGCTTCAATTTCAAACGGCAGAAGACTAAGTTACAAGGAAGGGGGCTTGTCACTCTCGATGACTGCAGGGCAGACGGAACTGAGCGTTTCATACGCCTGAAGGTATTTGTCTAATTAAAAGTTCTTTAAAATTTATTTTGGAAATTAAAAAAATATATATATTTGGAAATGTAAAGAGTTTAGCTTATATCCAGGCCAATAAGATTTAATCTTTAATGATGATTCTTATATAAGCTCTGGGAACATATTTGAAGTGTAGGCTTACAGTAATTTGCAAGGTATCGCTTGGTCATTTTTCCAGCTGGCCTCCTGCTTCCCTGAGGCTTTTCAACTGTAAGGTCACCTTTTCTCCTTTTTGCTAAGTAGATGTGTTTTGTATTGCAGGAATATTATAACTGCTGAGGTACTAGCCTTCTTTTCGACTATTCAGGTGGGTGGTAACCTACAGAAGATCTTATGTCTATTCCATTTTTATTGGAGTTGAGACATTGTCCACTAACCCGTACACCAACCCCCTGTCAGTTTGTTGAACTGTGGTGGCTTGCATGTTGCTGTGATGCTGTGTCACTGGTATTTGAAATACCAGCAGGGTCACCCATGGTGGACAGGTTTCAGCAGATCTTCCAGGCTAAGACAGATTAGGAAGAAAGGCCTCGTGATCTACTTCTGAAAATTGGTCAGTGAAAACCCTGTGGATCACAACAGAATATTGTCCAGTGTAGTTCTGGAAGATGAGCCCCCTAGGTTGGAAGGCAGTCAGATACACAGTGGCCCTAGCAATGGACTCGAGCATACCAACTATCATGAAGCTGGTGCAGGAGCGGGCAATGTTTTGTTCTCTTGTACCCAGGATCAACGTGAGTTGGAGCTGACTCTACGGCAACTAACAATTTAGCTTTCAGTCAATGAAAACCTTATGCATCTAATTTTGTAACAACAATTAAAAAATATATGTGCGTGTATATACTAGGCATATATATGTGTATAGGTATGTATATGTGAGTACATGTGTGTATGTAGGTGTATGCATATGTATATGCATGTATGTGTGTCCATGTATGTGTATCTTTATATATATAATAAAACACATAGGATACTTCTTAGATATAACTAAACACTTTGCAGGATTGGTTTTCTGGGTTTCAATGTTTAGGACCATAGTTTCATGGGACAACTTGGTCAATTGGCATAATATAGTTCATAAAGTTTATGTACTACATCCTAGTCTGGTGAGTAGTGTCTGGGGTCTTAAAAGCTTGTAAGTGGCCATATAATGATACAACTACTGGTCTCTACTCATCCGGAGCAAAAAAGATAGAAGGAAACCAAAGACTCAAAGAAGAAACTAGTCTACAGAATTAATAGTCTAAATGAACCACAGCCTCACTTAACCCTGAGAACGGAAGAATTCCATGGTGCCCAACTGCCACTACTAATCATTCTGATCAGGGGCACAATAGATGGATCCTGATTGAATGGGAGGAAAATGTGGAACAGAACCTCACAGTCTTAAAAAATCCACACTTAACTTGACAGGTTGAGATTTGAGGACTCCCTGAGGCTATTGCCCTGAGATACTCTTTAAACCTTGAACTGAAACTGGTCCCTGAGGTCACCTTTTAGTTAAATAACAGATTGGCTCACAAAATGAAGAACATCACCCATGAGTACTGTGCTCCTTTAAAAAAATCATCTATATGAGACTAAACGATACTTTAAAACAAGGATGAGACGGTAAAGGGCAGGGAAACCAGATTAATGGAAACAGAACAATGAGAATGGAAATAATGAGAATGTTCACGCATTGTGAAGAATGTAACCAATGTCACTGAACAAGTTGTGTAGGAATTGCTGAATGGGAACTTAAATTGCTTGTAAAACATCATCAAAAACATGATGAATTATTTTTTTTTTTAGAAAGGAACCTTATACATCGCAATAGAACACTGTCCAAATTGCTTGTTTTGGACATATCATCAGGATGGATCAATAACTAGGGGAGGACATCATGTTTGGTGAAGCAGAGGGTCAACAAGGGCGAGGGAGACCCTAGGTTAGATGGATTGGCATAATAGCTTGAATGATGGACTCAAACATACTGGCATTTGAGAGAATGATGCAGGACTGGGTAACATTTTGTTTTGTTGTACATAAGGTCATCATGAGTCGGGGTCAAGTCTACAGCATCTGTCTACCTACCTACCTACCTATCTACCTACCTATCTATCTATCTGTCTGTCTGTCTATCATTTATCTCTCTGTTTCTATCTGAGACATTATATTGAATTTATGGAATTTCTTCATAAGTGCTACTGTTAATAGTTTGAGGAATATTTTCATCATTTCTCATTAAAGTGGAAAACACATTGTTACAGTCATTGAAGTATTCAGAATAAGCCATGGTGGATAGAAGTACAGTGAAACCTTTGACAGCCGGAACGCAATGGGATTGCCTTGTTTTTCTGGGTTTTGCAAGTTTTCCGTCTTTGACAGGGTGCAGTCTTACTACTTTTCTATCACTCTCTGAATAGTGTAAAATTTTTGTGTTTTTCCTCTCTGACAGGTTTCCAGCTTACACACGTTCTGGCTTTTGCAGGTTTTACTGTCTATGTTCCTACATTTATTGTCTTGTGTTTCCAGTATCTTGTGGAAAACATCTACTCTCTGACAGAGACTCCTAATGTTCTCCCAAATCCAGTTCCTGTCATTCCAGGCACCTAGGAAGCTTATGCTTTCTTGCTACCTTGCAGTTAGGTAACTAGTTGTTGTCACTGGGTTGTGAGCAGAAGAGACAGTGTCACTTCTGGGCTAGAGCATTTAATTGCTGGCGTGTGACCCTTTAGCTCTACTTTTTCCTTGTAATGGTGAATCCTGAAGCATCATGTGGAAATGGTGGCATTATAAGATGCAGTCATTTTATGGAGCAAGGCTAACCCGCCAATCTGTACTAGGCGTATAGCACGAGTGAAAAATAAACTTTTGTGGTTTTAAGCCACTGAAATTTTTTGAATTGTTTGTTAGCACCACAGCATAACCTAACCTATTCTAGCTA